ACGCTATATATATTTCTTTTTCTTTGTAGAAATGTTTCATCAACTCTGCGTTTCTCGGTACAAATTATCACATTGTAATTATGTAAGCATATTCATATCTAATTCTTTAAATTCAAAACTTACGTCATTTAAACATAAAATCTACTAAGCCATTACGTATAAAGAGCTCCTAATTTTTAGCGCGCATTAAATTTTATTCAAATATTTAATTTGATTTAATTAAAGGATTAAAGTTTATACTGACTTTATTAAAAACCGGCTAAATCGAAGTAATTACGCGTAATTTATGCGTGAATATAATAAATCTAGCTTCCGACCGTCATCGTTAAACAACCGGCGCGTCTCGCCGGCTCTCTCTTGAAGACATTTAAGTACCCTTGTCCAGTTGCAGGTTCCTCGGATCGAACTGCTCGTCCTGCAACAAATCAAGTCCTTTGGCCCTGGTAGCGTGTTGTTGACCAACTCCTCGAGCTCCGCCATAAACTGGATATAGTTGCTGAATCTTGGGGTACTGCTGAAATACCGCCGGGACCTTGTTCGTGGCCGCTTTCGCCGGCGGCTCCAACAAGATCAGACCTCTTTGAAGGGGCGAGGCAGTCGCCAGATCGACGATCTTGTGCCTATTCGTCGTCGCGGTCTGTGTTTTCGTTGTCGCGATGACTTGAGTCACCGTGCTGGTAATCGGGCTCGGTGTACTTCTACCGCGCGGCCTCGACGTGATCAAACGCACGTCCCCGATCACGTTATTAGGCCCTCTGTTGAGGCCTCGCGAGGTCTGAGCGGTGGGCTTGGGGCTTGGTCGATTGGCCGACTTGCCGTTCTTATGCTGACCACGAGCCTTGCCCTTCCTCTGAGACTGAATCTGCGCGTTCACCACGAAAGGCGGGCTCAGGCTGCCGGATTTGTCAGACTTGTGCTGCGCCTGCTTGCCCTTCGTCGGGACGTTTTGGTTCTTCGAGAAAGCGGTCTCGCGCGGTTTCACCAACGGCCGTCTGGGCATGCTCATGCCAGCCGGATTGTAAAGAGCGTACTCGGTCCGATCGGGCAGCGTCGCAGTACCGTAGAAGATCAGTGCCCATTCGTGAAGAGTAGCGCGTCCTGATCCGGTATGCGTCCGAGAATGCAGCGGAAAGAAAGCGGACGTAACGATTAAAGGAGAGATAGAAATGCGGTGCGATGTTCACTGGCGTTATTAAATAATTATAGACAAAGATAGTGTATGGGGCAAAATCATCGAAAAAATTAAAAGATTACATCTTGGTCAAATATCCATCGTTAAACGAATGATAGCTCGATACAGCCGCCGCGCGAGATTACGCGTTACTCAGCGTCTTAAAAAGAGATAACGAGAAAGCTAGGGTAGTATTACGGGGGATTTTGTAAAAGTCTTTTCGTTCGTATAAGCACGTCGTGTTTACGGGCGATGGCGAGATACGTCCACGGAGTATGTGCGATAGTAAAATAAACAACGAGATGGTTTAAGAGCGACTGAAATATCCCGTGATCCTCTCATTTCCCGAAACATAGTCACGTCGTTACACAATAATGGATGCGCATTACAGTTCTATGCTATATAGCTTCAGGGGCGCATAAGGAAATTTATGTAACCATCGGCCTTGATTAGCCGACGAGGAAACAGTTCGAAGTGGTTTTAACGCTTGTACCTTACTCGAGATCGGCTGCGGCGAAGCTCCTCTCTGCTATCTGCCGTTAAAGGTAAAGCAGGAGTGCTTTTGCAGTAGGGTTCTGCTGTGTGCTCGAAACCGGCAATTATCCACCTCCGGGGATAATGCACCTTCTTAGGTAATCGCGTGCGCGAATGGGGTTTACGTAAGAGCCCTCCCCGTGGCGTCCTAGACACGAACTACGAGAATACCGTTGATCCCGCCGACCGACTCCTCGGCATTGCATTGCAGAATGTGCATGCAATGCTAGGTATGTAGAAGCTATTCCACCCTGATATCACGCGTATGAATGGATTAATCCTTTGTGACGCGATTTATCTCTACAATTGTGGGAAGAGAAATTTCGCGATCGTGCGTTAAGAAAACAGATTTCTTTTACGCGCATTTTACTCGTTTGGATGTGAGAGAGTTGCTAGATCAGTGTCAATATCAGCTGATTTCTTGTCGGCACTTCCGACCGACAACTGACAGAGAACTCAGTAACCGTGACCTTATGACAGCACTGCTTGGACACTTGGAAACTATTGTTACGACGAACAAGGTGAAATCCTATTTGAAATTTAGATCAGCGAACGGCGTCTCTGGTGACTGAGTCTAATGCCGGCGTAATCTCCATGAGGCTTGTCTTTGACATTCTAATCTAAGATTATGCTTCGCGCGAGCGTATAATACTTTTCGCAGGCATATGAATCTGACGCTGATTTGTATATTTTAAATAATGATTAAAAGATATCATTTTAAAAACAGATTTGCTTTAAAGCAAGAGAATTATTAAGAATATTAGAGAGCATAATTGAATCTATATTAATGCTCTTGAATTAAAAAAGATAGTCTTTTTTTATATATCTTGAAAAACTGTAATCTGATATTTTGATGAATATCGTAAACAATTTTCATGTATCGGAAAATTGCGTAAATCTAATTAATTAAAAGCAACAAAATTTCAAGATCTTTTTACAAATTAGAGAAACTGTAGATGAGATGAAAAGATTTAAATTTTACGAAGTAAGCACAACTCTTCTAATGCTAAAAATAACTGTAATTATTTACTTATTTTTCCGACAAATTACTCAATCAAATAATTTTTCGAAGTATTAGTTTTCACAATAAATGGTTTAATTAACTGATTTTAATATGCTTAGTGTCTGATTAGTTAATCTTAATTAACAGCAATGAACACCAATACATTAAAGACATAGCTAATTTCAAATCAATATTATATGAACTAATCCCGTATTAAATCACTCGTCATTTAAACTCGTTAATTAAACATCCTTCAATGATATACGATATGGTGTGATTAACTTACCGAGATATCGACCCTCATTGTGAATTTCTAATTTCCAGGTTCCATGCGGTCTTTCTCCCCATGTGTGCACCGACATGAATGGCCATTGGCTGAAGCCGGCCTTCGAAACGTCGTGCGGTCTCTTGGCGAGAAGAGTGCTCTTCGTGCCCTGAGGAGATGTTAGCTGTATCTGAAGATCCCCTCGTCTTGCTGCCATCAGCGATACTTTTGCCTGCAATAAGCGTTTCATTGTGCCATTATTATAAATGATGTATATTCTTCGTATGTATTATTAGCACTTACAATTCGTTACGCATATCTTGATACACATAAACCAAAATTAGTAAATTCTCAAATTGGTGTTATAATATTTCGTTAATAACTTAATGTTTATATCTAATTTTGCTAATTAGTTAACAAAAAAAAAAAAAACGAAAAAATATAGAGTTTACGAGATAATTTTGCACTGTAACTAATAATTTTATAAGAGCAATTAACTTAATTGATTTAACTTCTTTAATATTGTATTTTAGCTTCTTTAATAACTGATTTAAGCGGTCCAGTAATTACGCTTCACCGGTAGATACAGTAATTAATATATCATAAATTAATTTGTGCAACGAAATAATTATTATGTAATGAAATAATTATTGGGCGTATTATAGTTTATCTCTTCTATAGACGGTGTAAAATAATAGTATACATCCAGTAATGAAAAATAAATTGATTTTTATTTAAAGGAAAGATAAAAAATTCTACTGATTCAACGTCAATTGGAAGAACATCGTTCTCAAAATTATTACTCGGCGTTGTGCTTCATGGCCGACACGAAATCCGCTAATTAGTGATGTCACCTGTGAGTGACGTGCTCAACTTACCTGAACGTGCTCGAGGAAATTAACACCGCTGCACTCCTTGACATGTAAGTCGAGAACCAATTGGCTCTTTGGCGGAATTGTCCTAGAAAGTAGATAAAATTCGGGTCAAGTGTTTAGCTCGCGCACAAAATTCTTCGCGAAGTATATTTTTACATGAATACATTTTTATAGATATTACTATTGCCGATTTTAAATCATCGCTCGATTAACTCGGTCAAGTATTATTTATGCCTCTTCTCGCATGCCCTTTTTTAGCAGTAACGCGACATTATTTCAGTAATAGTAAATTAAATAGAAAAAAAAACCATTTTTATTTTTGATATATCAAAATTAAATTTATGTTAAAATTATATCATCTGCGTTATCTTGTATAAATAAAAAAATATTTGTACATAAATTAAATAATTAAAAAATTTCTAAACAAAAATCTAAAAATAATCATAAATACTATAACATTTGCTTTTCAAACAACGACTTTTATTTGAACATTATTTTAAAATATAAATGAATATTAGATCGTGTTAGAATAATTAATTACTTTGAAACAAATTATTTTACATAGAATTGAGTACAAGAGATTTTTATGCTTAATTGTTTTAGAGAAGCTTAACTCCAAAGTTATAAATTATGTAAATTCTATTCATTTAATGCAAAATGCTATCTGTCCTGACTCGTTACAACCCTCGACGGTACAAGTGGCGTATTACACGTGATTCAGACGTGCTATTTCAGGCGAATAAAGCCCATTTGACGATAGCCGACATGCTCGAACGAATTTATAATCTACGAGAAGCGTGTTTGCTCATTTAAGGACAGATAATGATCCGTACAGTCAAATCAAATTTCGATTCTCCACATTTTCGAATATTTTTCTCAAGGTTGATGATTCTCTGTACAATTGTCACATATCTTTCTTCTTCTTTATTAACGTATCAATACTTGGAATAAGACATACTGATTTTGAAATTGCTCTCATTTATTTAACAACCCAATTTAAGAGCACCTACCTGCCTGTGTGTGGCGCTGATACTTCGCATTTGTGTTGCTCTGGAACAGTTCTCCATCTTCTCGCTAAGCGTACCATGGCAGTAGCGTCCATCAACCCGTAACCGAAGCTATGGCTCACTGTCAGACATAAAATGCGAGCCCGACATTGTTAAACAATATTTTATTTCAATTAATTGTGCTAAGTAGATATATTTGAATAAATATATTTAATTATCGATTTATTAAATAGATTGATTATAGATAGATTAAAAAATATTTTAATAGAAAATATAAATGTTTATTAATTACATTACTTCTAAATCTTTTTTTTTTTTTTTTGGGTTGATATAATGATTTAATTCACTTATTAACGTATCATCACGTAATTTTACTAATAATTCTAAGAATTCCTTTGTTTTTCAGACAATTCTTTAGAGTCTTGAAAAATTCTTTCTCTACCAAGAAATCGGCGAGTACTCACCGTTTCTACCGACACCGTTAACCACCCAATCAGGTGCCTGCAGGTTCGCAGGTTTGGCAGTCCTGACCACAATGTGTTGCATATCCCTCCAAGTGAGATCTCTGTTCGCTTCTAAGGCGAGGGCGCAAATACCGGCCGCCAATGGTGCCGACGCGGACGTGCCCGTGTGGCTGCTCGTACAATGATGATGCAAATCCGTAGTGACGACCTGTTTCTCGCCAGTAGAGCCCGAACTGTAAGTGGTAGCGAGAGTGGACGAGCACGCCTCGCTGTACCAGGGCACAAGGCCGTTCTCGGTCGCGCTGCTGATGGACAAAGTCCAAATGCTGTTGGTGTAGCCGTCACAGTTGCAATTGTCATGATCTCGACCACCGTTCCCGGATGCCCACACGAAGATCGAGCCCTTACCACTGCGACCCTAACGATTGATTAAAGGCTTTTTAATCCGTGCGAAATAGACTATATATATCAAACTTAATAACTTGATTTTTGCGCTATAATATTTAGATCCTTATAAAAATCTTTAAAAAAAAAAAACGGTCGGGTAGTTTCAGACCGCGGAATTGAAAAAGCAGGATTTAACGGGCATATTCAATGCTGCGAGCTAAAATGAATCTGACAAGTTTACCACTTTGGGTACTTTAGATGTGGTCGAATTTTTTTTTTACTGGTACTTGAATCTGAGATGCTCGGGACGCTTAAGGCGCTTTAGAAGTTTAAGACACTTTGCATGCTAAAGCCGTTTTCTCTGCGCCCGTAGACATACAGGATGATTCGGAACGAAACCGTTATTAGGAAGTCGATGAGATTGGATGTTTAGCGTTAATAGTCTCCGTAAGGTCGAGACTAAATTGTCTCAAGCTCGTAAGAAGAAACTTTCCAACACTATATACATATATGTGCTCTTGTTCAAAGATTAAAACGGGAATTTTGAAAATTAAATTTCTGATTTTCATCAAAATGTTGAGGACGATTCGTATAGCACTTTAAAAAGAATTTTTTCGAGAAGTTAGCGAATGAATTAATCACTGATACAAAGATAATATATAATTGTATAATAAAAAATTGATAATGATAGGCACACACGAATTCTTTCTCGATGAATATTCTTTAATTAAATAAAAGTTAATTGACGTTATCACATCATATGTAGATTTTGTTATTAAATTGCAAATTTTTCCTTTACAAATATTTTGAAATATATTGTCCAGTGTTACTCTAAGATTACAGGAACTCTCTGAATATTGAGGCTAGAGGTGCGGCTGGTCCGGCTATCTCGTGATAAGACCAGACACCGTGTGCTTAGGTAACGTGTAGGCGTGACCACGAACTCTGAACTCTCTTTGAGACCCGACGTTAACTAATTCAGTAATATAGTGCTTGAGCCTTTGATCAGAAAAGCTATTTAATCGAAAATAAGGCATTGACTTGGTTGCATCGGACATCTTAGACGCAATTTGTATAATCATTATTAATTAACTGTGATATTACATTATATCTTATATTTTACAATGAATTTATATCTTTTAAGAATATTTTTTTTTTTTCATTCAAAAAAAATCTTTTTTTAAAATATGCAGATTAATAATTGTATAATATAAGTATATATACAAAATTATGTAAAATATATATATATAAGAAATCAGGATGTGCAGGAATTAATCCAGTTTGACGTAAACTATATAACGTGCGCATGTTTCATGCGATTCTATCGGCTATGTATGAATCCTATAGTTAGTTACGGTTCCATTAGCCCCCAAGGGTGATATTATCGAACCTGTGAACAGGCCCTAGAGAGAATGCAATCATCTGTATGTCGAATATAAGATAGTATATAATCCGATACAGTTACAAAGGAAATTGTCGTTGCACTAAATGTCTACTGTGCAACTGTGCGCGAGACCAAGCCGCTGCTAGGATAACGTAGCTCGACATAATCAGTACCATTTGTATTTTAGCTGATTAAATCATAATATATTAAATAATATAATGTAAACTTATCACGTCCTTTAAAATATAGAGAAAACGTATTGCCGTACAATCCTTAGAGAATAAATATTCATTAAAATATTTATTATAAAAAATTAGCTTAATTATATTAATAGGATAATATCCCGCAAATTTTTTTAATTGTGCTAACAATTTTAATTCTAAGTGCTACATACAATATTAAATAGTTATATTAAAAAACAGATTTTTTAAATTTTCGTCTCTCTAATAACAAAAATTGTAATTAAAAAAATATATATTTAATAAATACGCGCAATTATATATATCGTGTTACGTAAGTTCATATAATACATTTATTATAATATAACGTTAATTATATTGTATTAATATCTCTAATTAAATTAATGAAAATCTAGATAAAAAATATAAAGGAAACTTTTTTGTGTGAAGATTGGCGCAATGACAATTTTTTGTAATAATCTCGGTTCTAACTCTTCAAAAAGTTTAGCTCGTGTATAATAAAAATCGATTCCTGAGAATACAGATATCGACATCGTATCTTATTGCTTGGAATATCTGAAAAGAGATCACAAAAGCTATCTTGACGGAATGACAGTTATTTAATATCACAGATGTTTAATATTGCTACCGGGAAAGAATCTGAAACATTGCTCATTTTATTACTCGTTGATCCCATTTATGAATGCTCACCGGTTATAGTAACCCTTACAATATGTAGAAACGTTCACGTTATTGTAATATAAGGAAAAGCTATAGTTATAACTGATGTGTTTTAAAGTTACGATTTTATGATTTTATTTTAAGTTTGTTTTATATATGCATCAGTTCTGAAAAAATTTTTTAAACTGTTATTCAAGAAAAATTGTCTTTAATTGTTTTTGATTAATATAATTTCAAATATATATATATTTTTTTTTTCTGTTAATATAATTTCCTATTTATATATTTTATATCTTTTCTGTTTGCTTTTTCTGCCACAATTTTCGTCATCTCCTTTACAGTAAACAAACGCAAATTTACGAATTAGCAATTCACCGCTTATCGCCTTGGAGACTATTACGCTCTTTTATAAATTTTGGTGAAAGCACTGCGTGACCATTTCCTCGATATGTTCCGCCAGTTGCCATATATTTCAACTAGTTTTGCATCGACCATATTGACATTTGCATATATTTTACGGCTACGTCGTCGTCGCCGGCAGTAAGTTTAAAATGGTAATACGTTCTAACGCGGCTCGAGTCGGCCAGTCGCTTAAAAGCACCCAATTAGAAACTTTCTGAAGGCTGACCTCTCTCGCCGAGAGCGAGTCTATTAAACCGGGTCTAGCTGGAGGAGTTCGTCGTCGTTGCTAATTGAATTACGTCTGTCATCGTTCCGTCGACGATTCTGTCGACGCCTGTGACACCATCGTCGAAAGAAATCAATCATTTGTGGACGTCAAAGTGTGATCAATCAAGTGACAATGCAGAGGATATTATTAACATAACATTATACTTTTTCTTTATCTTAATTTTTTCATTCGTGTCGCATAGATATAAAGGGCATTACCTATTGTACGTAAGTTATCAATTTATCAAAAACTCTAATGAACCAGCACTGACTATTCATATGATTTAAATAAGCTAAAATTAATGATATTTGAGAACAATTACTATTTCAAAAATAAGTTTTGCAGTGTAAAACAGCTTTTAATTATAAAAAAGTTAATTAGAACCCTCGGTATTTCGAATTATTGACAACTACGGCTATCGCAAAATAGGTCACTCGGTTCACACGGATAACAGAAATGAACAGTACCGAGGATCTTTACCAAAGTTTCTCAACAGTTCTTGATGGCTCGTCTTTAATGCTAAATGTCTGCGCTTTAATGATCGTTACTTGAAGTAGAGGTTCTCTCAATGCTAAAATTCACCGTTTTAGAATCGCGATAAAGAGATGCCGCGAACGCGATCGAGGAGCCGCCGCCTCTGCACGAGGCGTATACATCGAGATGACAATGGCTATTGTCGGCACTGAAACTCGGAAGATCTCAGAGGATGCTTCTGCGCGTGATACATTTGTGCGAATTTCATTTCGTTCTACAACGCGGCTGTTCGGATACGAGCATACGAATCGCGTTAACAACAAACAGATGAATTTTTCCTTCTCGTGACAAACGAGGTGCGAAGAAGAGCAATGAAATATTTGCTTATCTATCTCTGTATGTGCAATAATATTATCTACACTTTTATAACATTATGATAATCAATATTAAAAAGTTGGAAGAGAATTTTTGTTTTTATAAAAATATGCTACATTTCTCTCTCTAAATAATTTATTTATAAAATTTTAATTACTTAGTTTAATTATTTATAAAAAAAGTTTGACATTTTATTAATAAAATATATTTAAGAGAAAATATAGATGAAAAATATATATCGAGGAGATGTAGTAAAGTTACTGTAAATGAATGTTTATAATTATCTTGTAACAATTGCAAAACGAATTCGCGTTTCATTGAACGAATTTCGAAGAAATAATAGCGAAGCTTACAGTACTTAAAACAACTTCTTCTCCCGCTTGTTTGGTTTTACAAGGAAAACCATTAACAAGTTAAACGTATTCTTTTGGTGCGAGATATAAGAAATTAGGAGGACGATAATTGAACTTAGGAGTTGGTTAACTCCAATCACGAGAGCTGTTAAATTTCTTTCTTACTCTCGAACAAAGATTTCAACCGATGAGAGTAATTCTCGAGGAATTTCGATTCGTAGAAAAATCATGGAAGATCGGAACGTAATGATCTCCACTTATGTGCGAACAGTTTCTCGCTTCGGCATTTCAGTACCGCAACGTTGTATTAGATAGTTTATCGATCGACCTTTACTATTTTCACACTTACATTAATCTTCCAAGAGTTTTTTTTTTTTTTTTAAAAGGATCTTCGATTAAAATTTTCAATTAAAAGTCCTCAAATTAATATCTTTATCTTAATCGATAAAAGAGAGATTTCGTAGTTCGAATATTTGATTTGAGTTTTATAATCGATGTTTTTGTATGCAACGCATTAACAGAACACAAGCGTTGTAATACCAAGCTGGAAAATTCCCTGCAGCTTGACGTTTGAGAGTCAAGGAAGCGTCTTGAAGCAACCTAGAAGCTTCCGTTTCGTACAGGGATACCTTGCGGCTAATTGCATTTACCTTGTCATAACGCAGGAAATTATAGCGAAGAAAATTGCAGTCCTAAGTGGATTACGCTACTACATCGAAGTTTGAAGCTCCGAGAGAAACGTACGGCATACTTATTTTCAGATCGTCAAAGACTTAAAAGATATGGCAATTAATAACGAAAAAGATATGTTAATTAAGATTATAATTAAGAGTAGCCTCTTCATTTTTCGATTAGGCAATTAGCGTTTAAATAATGTTGGGACGTTTGCGAGATACTCCGACATATCTTGAGTAAATCTTTCGCGAGTAAAACTATTTTTCTTACGAGAAATAACATTTACTCTCGGCTGCCAAAAGTCGAAAATAGATACAATCCATTTTATTCGATTTTCGTATTTTAATTTCAAGATTTAAAAACATCAAAGATCCAATAGAACTGTATTAAAAATTAATTAATTTAGAAAAAAAACTCTTGGATTTAATTTATTTAATAGCGGCTAAATAAATCTGTGAAAAAAGTAGTAGAATTTCCAATGGTGAACACTCACTTTGGTAATTCCCTCGATAAAAGCTCTGGTGGCAAGTTCACCGGGACCATCCACAGTTTTGCCGTCGTCATCCGGTCCCCATGACGCGCTATAAATATCGATGTGTTGAGGATTTAGGCTCAAGGATCTTGCTTCAACGGCATCCGTCACGTCGCCGTCTAACATTCGAACACCTGTACATGAATGAAAAGCCAACATTATATGATAATGTAATGACATATTGGCTTTTTTACATAAAGGATTTTACGCATGTATATTGTCTATTATGTGTAATATTCAATATATATACATATATGTATATCAAGAGTCTTCCATCACATGATTAAACTGCATGCATTTCATGTTTGTGTTAATTATCTCGCACAATTCCCGCGGCTCGTGGAACGGAAGATCCAATTTACAAGATCGAAATTGGGCATTGCGTATCGATTTAGATCAGTCCCGAATGTAACAGACGTAACATGTAACAGACTATTGCCAATCCCGATCCTAATTCGAAAATGATGCCGTCTCGCAATATCAATTTCGCATATTACAGACACACGTCGCTCGCAGTATACACGTCGTTATTTCAACACCAACTTTGCTATTGCTAATTGGAAATAGAAGTGCGAAATTTAAATACAATAATTACTTTGTTGAAATAAAACTTATATTTCTGACGAGTCAACATTAAAATATTTTCTTTCCTTATCTCTCTCTCTCTCTCTCTATCTCTCTAAATTTGTCGATATCTTATTCTCATCTTATTTCAAAATTATATATGTATAATAAAATTTATGTAAAATAACAATTAAATTTTTATATTTTATTCGTGCAATATAATTCCAGATGTTGTAGAAAACGTCGGAGTTGTTAAAATAAAAATCTACATAATTCAACACACATCTTAAGTTACACATATGTAGAGAATTCTACATGTACAGAATTCTAATGTACAGAAAGTCCTTTTAATTCTCAATGTACATGATTATGAATGTTAAGTAATGCTTTTCAGAATACTCACCACCCACGCCAGCTCCAAAAGCAACACCTACGGCACAGAGAGAATTGTTGGCAGTGGCTGCGACCTCTCCGGCGCATCTGGTGCCGTGTCGATTGCTATCTACCAAGTCGTACCTTGGCATCGGGTCCTCGTCGTGACTGTTGACGTCGTAACTCGCTTGCGGATCCTGTAACAGAAATCGTCAGCGGTGTCAATTAAAATTCATGCATTTCACGATGAATCTCGTTCGCGTTATTCCGTTTCCACTTCGATATAAAAACTAAGACTCGCGGACAGATAAAAATTTTTTTTGAGATGAAACAATCATGAAAATAAGTAACGATAAAAATATATGTGATATATAACAAATTGCTTGCACAGAAAAATTTTGGAAGCAATTTATATTAAGAAATTAGGTTTATAGAATGAAAAATATTTATAATAAGAAAATAAAAAATTTTTAATTAATACAATTTTTGCAAGCAATAATATAATTTTTTCTCTTTATGTAATAAATTTTATTTCAGATATATTTATTGATGAATATTTTCGAAAATTTTTTCTCAATGCAAACACATTCGTGTCTGTGTGTATATCCGCGTACTGCGTAATGAGAAATATAAATGCGAAGGAATATACACGCAAATCCGCGTAATCAAAGCAGCGACTACTGATTGATTAATGCGATTCACTTTCTATTGCGTGTACAGATATCTCTCATTCAATGTAATCATCCGCGAATCAATAATTACTCGTCATATACATGCATATCCCATGTTTGTATTCTGATGTAACCGATGTTTGCTGTGCATCCGCGATACGCCTTCATCTGCCACACTCTATTGTGTATTTCACCGGAGTCTTTTTCACATTTCTTTTTTCTTGCCTCGGCAAATATAAAATGCATTGGACTGACATACATCCCGTGATATTAGGCAAGTATTAAGCGCCTGCGTTTTTGCATATTCGTATTAATTTAATCAGAGAGAAAGCTACTTTATATAAAATTACTGTAACAGCCGTAAAAAATTACAAAATGCAGTTTACTCAAATATAAATTAATTTCAGTTTGTATTATTTCACAAATAGACGCTGAATGTGAAATGCAACTACACGCACACATCACCTTTTAATATTAAAAATGTGTTCGCGCCATCTATTTTGTTCTGATAGTAGATTTTACCCAAATTAAAAAGTCGATTAATTTTTAATAAAAAAATATTAATATACGAGATACGCTAAAATACTCACATAATTTTTAAAAAGATCTGGGTGATCTTTCTCTAATCCATCGTCGAGAATTGTGACTACAACGCCATTCCCAGTAATTCCCTCGGCCCAAGCACCCTGCACGTTCATGTCCAGTCCCTTTCCTCTATTCTGAAAAAATATTATCCAATATTTCCGACATCCAACTTTCGACCGACAGCGTGGGTCTCCATCTACGATACAAATGTCAACGCTTTTTCTGAGCCGATATTGATCGAGCTGGCTTATTTTGTATTATTTCCGTTGATCGTATTATATAATTCTTTCAAAAAAGTTATATAATAAAATGCATGTAAATATAGATATTTTTACATTTATTGATAATAGTAACAGAATGCCATTATGGCTAATCGTAAGTTAAACGTAAGCCTTTCAATTTGAAAATACTGTTTATACGATGCATTTTTTGCCATACATACAATTATAAAATTAAATGTTAAAAAAATACACATTACTTCCTAAATTTTTCGAATTATATTTTTAATAATTTAATTATATAAAATTATATCTATATATATTTATTTATCTATGCAATTAATCTTATCACATATAGAATAACGTGCTCTTGTGATTGTAAAATCGCTTACCAGATACCACATTTGAGGCCACCTTTCGTCATTTAGTATGGATAGTATATTGGACGGACGTTTGATTATAAGATCTCTTTTGGTACGCGATTTCACTCGCTGCTGCTCCGCTCGATGTACTCTGTAGTCTTTCATTAGCCTCTGATGCACTTCGAGATGCGGCTCTGTCGATCTCTTCGGCACGGATCGATGCTCCATGTGGAACCAATCATCGTTTATCTGTAACAATGCGAATTGTTCTGTATGAATACCGTGAAAACATCGTCCCGATTTTCATTATTTCGGATCAGTTAGACAAAACCAGCCAGGAGCCGGTTGTTCATCGGCATTCAATTAGAAGTTAATGATCGTGAACATTACCAGTAGCGACTGTTCATTCGCTATTTTACCGTGTTCCTTAATTGTGCGCAATTTCAATGAAGAGGGGAAAAAACGAACGCGGGTACCTAGATAGGTAGCAATTTTGGAGTCATTGGAGCGATGTATCGATTTTTTTGTGTGTATTACATGTTCATTAGATAAACGTAGGAGAAAAAAAGATTATTAAATATATAAATCAAATTTTCGTTCGGAAAAAATATATGCAACTCATGCCTAATATTATAATATCGTAAATTTTATTAATCTCATATAATAACTTGTTCAATATCTTGGACGAATAGCTACTTCAGTGTTTGAATATCAAATTATATTATAAAATCGTAATATGAATTAATCCAGTTTTATATGCAATGATATTATGCAAGCCCAGATCGAGAGAACATAAATCTTCATAGATATATCCTCGGATAATGTAAAATCTGCCATCATTCTGCATTAATTATCGAAATTGGATTAACGCCAATTTGCGTTTTTATTTTTTTCCTCATTATTTTCGTACGATATAGACAAGATAAATGCTTGCTAAATCCTGAGTCGCGTTTATTAGGGCTGCGAGATATATCATCCTCCGACAGAAATGAAAATGTATACCGGCCATAAAACAACGGCGTTTGATGTGCAAGTTTGTTCCACCGGGTACAAAAATAAGGGTGTACGACGAGAGGGTGAGATAATGATAAACGTGAAAAGTTGGAGGCCAGCTGCTACGAGCGGACCTCTTTTGCAGCCGTCTCGGGTTACCCGAGTTGCATTTTTTCATTTCCGCGCCTCCCTTCCTGCGCTTTTGGATGTCGACTATATATTTCACTTGCAAAGAAGCTATTATGCTGTTTCTTATTAATATAAATAAGGCAGAATAAATTGAACGGGTACTTTGCAAATTCTGTTGCAGAGAATCTCAATGTTCTCGTCCTTTTAGCGGGATTAAATGCTTGTCCAGAGAGAACTATAACAGTAGATATTAGTCAATGTATTATTTTTTCAATATTACATTTATTGGAAATTGTATAAATTGAAAAGAATATTTACGAAAATAATATTTTATTAAGATTATATATTTAAATCCAAAATTGTCTTTCAGATGCTTTGCAAATATTTACCATATTAAAGTTTTTATTTATATATGAAATATAAAATATGTGTAAATAATGCAAGTTTTAGACATGCATAAAGTCAATGTCGTTTGAATCCATCGATGCTTAATTTGAAACGATAAAGTAGTCTTCTAGAGATGCTCAACGATGCTTTTTGCAAAGATGCTTTTCCAGGTTTTGGCCGCGAACCACTCTGCTCTCGTCCATCTTCGTCGGATAACTTTTCTTCTCGGCAACTGGCCACTTGGATGGACAATAATCGGGCGGACGGCACGGTCTCTTCAATCGCGAAGAAAGTTCGCCTTGGTCGGCATCGAGCCCGAATAGTTTCGACAAGATCGATCGCATTTTCCCATCGCGCGGTTGTCGCAGCTCGACGATCCGCGGAAGACAAGGATCGAGATGTCCATTTCCCTTCTGGAATATCTTTAAGCGAATTTTGTATCTCTGTCGGGTCCATCCGTTAGACGACTTGAATCTCTTTCTCTTCCCTTCCTCTTTATCCTGCGGTCGCGATTCCTGTTTTTCGATTTTCTCACAGACGGACAAAGCAGCTTCTTGCTTCGGTCGCGCGTCTACGTCAGTATCCGACGACTCGTGATTGACGCCGATACTCGGCATCTCCTTGATGGAAGGACACTTGCTCAATCGATATTTGAAGCTCGCCATGCTGGGATTGCAATCGCTGACGTCTGGCGTAGTGAAATCTTTTCCCGGTTTCTCGACGCAACGACCGCTCTTCGTCAGCGGAAATTGCTGGACGACTCTTGGCTTCTTTCTGTTAACAAACGCAGGAAGCGTCGAAGAAGAGGCGAATTTATCTTCAAAAGAGATCACACAGCGCGATATACGCTTTTCCGATACACTCTTCGGCAAACACGGCGTTATTTTCGCCCTGGTGTCTGTCTTGTCACATCCATTTTTACTCGTATTTTTCCTGCGATCCTCATGAATATCTTGAAAAGATGACGTGGCATCTTTCGTCCAAGACTTCCACGGCTCCTTCCGAGGAACAAAAATCATTGGCGAGGGTTTAACAGTGGGTGTACGAACTGTCTTGCTTGAGCAATGATTGCAATAAGATGGCGGATTCTCACTCCAATGTTGATATCTCGGTGGCGGAGGATCGGGTTTTATCTGCTCGTCAGTATCTGACACAGAACACGGTTTTGACATTTTACTTTTCATGGGAGAAATTTTTTTCTCACTCGATGTACATATTTTTTCGGAAAATGAAGGTTCTGCTTCAGAACATTGTGTAGAATGAGCAGCCCCGACTCGTTTCAGCTCGTCTATTGTCATTTCTTCC